GCTTTTAAACACTCAGGAGTCAATACAAAGGAAGCAGTGGGAACACACTTATCCCTGTTTTATTCAGTTTCAGGCGGGGCTGTACTTTTCCTTGACCAGATGTTGTAGAGTTTCAAAGTCAGATCGGTCCCTCCCCTCGCTGTCAGATGAAAGATGCAGAATTTGTCAGCTTGAGGAACGACAGCTACTCCTCTCTTTCTTTTGCATGTTTGCATTTTAGGAGCCAGACCTATGAGAGAGAGAAAGCAAAGAAGCATTTCTATGAGGACCATCTTCTCCATCCATGTTGTTTTATTGCCTTTTAGGAGGGGGTGTAAAAAAAAAAAAAGTAGCAGTCGAAGTCTGTGTTTGGGCCATTTGTACATTCTTTATTGGGATAGGTTTAAATGCCCAATTTGATCCCAATGGCATCTCCTTTGTAACATAAAATAAAACATGATGCTCAAGAAAAGAAACGACATGGACATCCAGTGCCTTTCAGAGCAGTTGATGAAGCTTCCAGCTCTGCCTCTCTGTGTGGCAGTTTCCCTTCCCTTTCTTTCTTTCACTGTGACAAGCAGCCATTGTCCCCTTGGTGAGATCTGCAATATTACTTTGACCCCAGCCCATCAATCTGCCTCAATTGGATAATGATCTGTAATCACTTTCTTTCAGGGGAGTCTATAAATTTGCCAAGGCCCCATTCTTCTCTGAAGGACTCCTTATGTTCACCCCCATTTGTGCAAATGCGCTCTCTTTTTACGGGCTAAATAGCCATGCACATGGCCCACTCTGGGAGGAGGCACCCGGTGGTTTTCGGCTGATTTTCCATGCTCCAGTCTCTTAAAGGAGACTAAGTCTGACACGCAGGCACGCAGTGGGGGGTGGCCCAATCCAGGCCACATCACAGGCAGCCGCTTTTCTCATTAAGACTGACCCATCATTAGGTCACTTGGTGCCACCCTTGAAATCAATGAGCTTAATGTTTAGTGCAAAGAAAGAGAAAGAAAAGAAAGAAAGAAAGAAAGAAAGAAAGAAAGAAAGAAAGAAAGAAAGAAAGAAAGAAAGAAAGAAAGAAAGATTTATAAGGAAAGGAGTGGGGAGGTGGAAGAGGAATGGGAAATGATTGGACGTACAGAAAAAAATCAACACTCATGAGCCAGCAAAGGAGTGAAAACCTCAAATATCCTATGTCTGATTCCTCTTGAACAAGCTCACTCAGCCATGTTTGTTTTCCATCAACATAAAAATTCTTAGATCCGATTTTCCCCGTGGTCTCCTGGCTTCTCATTAAGTAGGATGGGAAGCTTAAGTGGGGATAAAGCTCACCAGGTGGTCAAAATCCAGGAGTACCTGGTGACAATGAAACCTTATAACCATTGGTTTAATATTATACGGACCCCAAAGAGCTTCCTAACCACAGCCAAATGGAAATAAACAGAAATTCTGAGAAATCACAGGCACATAGAATGTAATCGGAAGTTTCCATATTAGAGTGGCCACAGAAGGCTTCTGGTCATCACGTCTGCCACACAGAGAGAGCCATCTTTGCACTGGGTAAGGTGTTAAAATGAATGCATGTGAATAAAAATAAGCGCTGGAGAGCAGAGAAGCTGGATTAGCAGAAAGACTCTGTCCTTTGTACAATATACATTAGTAACCACGATTTTCTGGGCAATGAATGTCACTGCCAATCTCTGTCAGATTAGTTTTTTGTTTTATAGCACAGGATAGATGCCTTTGTTATTAGGCTTAGGCAGGACAGAGCAAGCCCACAATAAAGAGGGTCACAGACTGTCAAGGGGACGGCAAAGAAGAAAGCAAATGACTAAGAAAATTCATTTTTAGAATTACCTATCATCCCGTAGGGGGAAAAAATATATGACTTAATTCTTACCTTCCTGTACTGTTCATTATGACTTTTTAACCACTTAAAAACTGATTTATAACCCATGTAAATTGTTATATGCAATTAAGTTGATTTGTTAAATTAAATCATCAGTAGATTAATTCAATCATTACTTGGTTTATTGACTTTATATATGTGAGTGTATGTATACACACATACAAAGAAAGTACCTAAAGTGCAAATAGGAATTCATAGGTTTTAGGGAATAATTATGAAATAAACACTCCTTAACCACACTCGTTAAGAAACTGACATTTGTGACTAACTTATTGAAGTCTGGGTTAAAAAAACAACAACAGTGAACTCTTTTTTGGCAGTAGGATCCTGTCATGAGTTATGATTTATTTGGGGCCTAATGAAATCCTTTTCGGTTACACAGCAAACATGACAATTTCTAAAAAGAAGCATCTCGGGACCGGGTTGTGATTCAGTGGCAGAGCACTTGCCTAGCACGTGTGAGGCACTGGTTTCGATCCTCAGCACCACCTAAAAATAAGTAAATAAAATAAATTAAAAAGGTATTGGGTCCATCTACAACTAAAAAAAAAAAAATTTAAAAGGAAGCATCTAATGATGAAGTGGTTCAGTGACTTATTTAGGGTATTGTACAAGTGGGCATAAATTAAGACCTCATCCCAGGACACCTATTTTGGTGAGGTTTATTCCGTCTTCCCAAGGGTCTCCAGTGAGGAATAGAATGCTTCTGTAATGCAGAAACATTGCATTCTTATAAATAATTCTCTGTTCCTATATTTTCCCACTTTACACTAAAGGAAAACTAACTCCTTCAATATTTCAATTGAATTCATTAGGTTCATATACACTGGAATATGAATTATTTTAAATATGGAGAAAATATTTTGATTGGCTTATAAAATAGTCCTGTATAACAAAAATTTAGACAATTTCAAGTATGGAAGCCAGAGACATACATAGGAAATTTTGCAGTTATGTGTCACATCACTCTTCATATTATAAAATGTGTCATGAATGTGTAATTTTAAGTCAGTTTTTTCAAAAGTGATTCTCTAGCTAGAGGTGATTATGAAATCTCAAGAATACATTTTGTAGGTCTTTTACTAAAAATGTAAACTATTTCCTAGTGAGTATCATGCATTCATTAGGAAAGTATAAGATCAGTATAAGTTAAAAAAAAAACTTCTAAGAATTTATTGACAAAAAACTGTTCATCATGACTTACAATGTTGATTTTTAAATTTTATTTCTTGCTTACTTTGTTTGAAAAGATGATTGCTATTTTCATCATAGCTTCTGCATAACCATCACAAAATATTGTATAGAATGTCCCCAGAACAAAGGCTATTGCTTGTACTGACAGGGCAGTTGGGAATTTATATGTTGTTAGAGAAATGGGTAAACTGAGTCAGAGTGACATTCTTTGGAAGTATCTCTCCAGGATGATTTTAAAGTAGGGATCAAATTATTCTGACTCAGGTAGAGCATAGCACAGGTTTGCTCACTCACATGATCCTGGTTACCCTTTTATATCAGTTATCACATCTTGGTATTTGCTTAATATTTTCAAAACTTTCAGGTATGATACTTTATAGTTTGTGATCAAAGATAATTTTACTTCTTTTCAATTATATATTATCACAGGTGTATTAGTCCATTTTCTGTTATAGTAATGGTATAAATGAGTCTGGTTGCTTAGAAAAGAGATTTATTAAGTTCTTTTTCTCGTTGGAATGCAATCAATGTAGTGAAGCTATACTAGATACAGTGCATATTTTGCTTATTCTTTTCATGAAAAGAATTGCCTTTGGTTGTTTTCCTATGTAAGATTCTGACTTTAGGACCACTGTCCGTATGTTGTATAATAGTAAAGAAATTGCTGCCAATTCCTAATTTGTTCAGTGTTTTGATCAGAAGTCACTGAATTTTTTTTGGTAGCTGAAGAATATTATATGATTTTTTTTCTCATAAACTGATTAAAACGATGAATTACATTAATGGGTTTCCTAATACAAAATCATCTCTTCATTCCTGAGATATATGTTGTGTTATTTAATGTATTGTTAGACCTCTTAGTAACGTTTTATTCATTTTTTGTATCAACATTCATTGAGTAAGATTGCTTTTTATTTTCCTTCTTATATGTTTATTGGATTGAGTTAGCAATCATATAATAACTTTGCTTAAAACCAAGTTTCCTTCCTTTTCTGTGTACTAGAGGATTATTTGGTGTTTGAGTATTTGAGGCCAGGGGCTATTTTTGTGGAGTAGTTCTTTGAAAAAGTTTTGCTTTGCCCATGTACAAATGGATGTATTTATGCATTGTATTTCTGAAAGGGCCAATTTTGATAAATTAATTTTTTCTTAGAAATCATCTATTTTTTTCAAATTTATTCATTTATACTGTTAATTATAACTGTTTTCAAATTTTTCTTTTCTTCAATATCTATTTTCCATTTATAATGTCTTCTTTTATGTATTTGTTATTCTTTTTATTGGTTTTGGTTTGGCAGATGATTTGTCATTTAAAAAGTTTAAAAAATCAAGCATTTTAACTGATTTATTTGCTCTGTTTTATACTTTGTTAAATCTGCCTGTGTCTGTATAATTTCCCCAGGACTGTCTGCATTTTATAGCATGATCCTTTTTGTGAAGCTTTTTTCATTGGGGAATCTATATTACTTACTTTTATTCTCTAATTTGTCAGTTTAAGTAATTTTTAAAGCTTTAGATTTTTTTCTGATCACTACTTTATTTTCTATAGGTCCATATGTGCCATTTACATCGTGGATAATTTGAAGAATTCTGTTATGTTGGTTTGTTTTAACAACTTTCTTTCAAGATTTATTGAATAGAGACCTGTTTTATGTTGCTATTAGATTTGGCTTTTAAAATTATTAGGTAGAAGACTATTTTTTTGGTTGTTTTTATAAAAGTTTTTTTTTAACTTAAGTGTAGATAATGTTTGAATTATTCATAAAATTTAAGATTTTTCTTTGTGTCATAATAAGTAGTAAACTTTGAATGTCCTGTGTGCAAAGGAAAATAAATCATATTTTTTATTATTGGGGTATCAAATTTTAGTTAGGGTCACTAAATGGTTTTTATCTTCAGTTATTTGCTTTTTTTTAGGTTAATCTAAATTGGAAAGCAGTATGCTGAACATGCTAAGAATTTCTCTTTGATTTTCCTTAGTTTCTGCTTTAGGAATGTGTCATTTCATGCATATATATTTATATTTTTACATCCTCGTATAAATTAATGAATCAATTACATTAAAGTAAGAATTTCAGTTCAAAAGCATACCATCTGCAAAGGCAACAGAAAAGAGTTTTCTTTCTTTTTTTTTTAAGGGCAGTTTCAAA